CCTTCGTGAGAGGCCTAAGCTCGTCACCCACATTCCAACCCTGTATTGATACCACAGTCTTTCCAGTTGTTTGATAAAGGTGAAAAGTGAAAAGAAAATCCCAAGTAAAAAGACCCTCCCAAAGAGAAATCCAGAGAAAATCGCAATAATAATGCAAAATATTCAACTCTATAATTTCCACCACTTTCCTTTAACTCAATAGTCAAATAACACTATTATTCATTTCACAGCTACAGATCAATTTACTCATGTGTGAAACCTATGAAATACAACCATTTTCTCTTCAAATGAGTGATCTTGGTGTGAGTTACCCATACAATTTGATAACAAAAAAAAAAATACATCATTCCAGATGGACTTCAGTTACTGGGCAGATGGAAATGTTTAAACAAAAGTTTAAAAACTTGATTATTTTAAATTAGGTAGTCTGGGAGGGAAAGTATGTGAATGTAACTGTAACCCAAATAATTAATATTTCCTGAATTTTTAAAAATTCTGCTTTCAGGATAAAATAGAACTTCAAGTAGGGCTGGGGATGTGGCTCAGTGGTAGAGCTCTTACCTTACATATGTAAAGCCCTGGGTTCAATCCCCAGCACTGCACACACACAAAAAAGAACTTCAAAAAAGAAAATGATGATGTATTTACATTTTAAAAGGCATCTACTTGGGTGGTCAAATTGTTATCATTAAGTTGTAGCTACTTGCTGTACAGTCACTTTCGTTTACACACCCTGGCCAGCCCACCTATAAACAAACATCAGCTTTTCCCTCCTCTTCAGCTGAGTGGAGATGCTGGCAGAGGCAATGCAATCATCACTGGTACAACTGTGGTAGGTGACATGGGGTCTGGGCCACCTGCTCACATAGGTGATGCAGTGTGGTATGTGACATTTCTGGATGCACCTTTCTATCTACTGAGAGACTGCTACCAGGGCCATGCTTATTTATGACTTGACCACTCCTACAGAAGTTAGCAGATCCCAGGTAGCTTGGTGGGCACCCCACAGTCAAGAGCTGCATCTCTAGAATTCAGTACTGTTCCCAGGGCTTCTTTTCAAGGAGCATGGAACTCTCCACAGCTGATAGCATGGTCTTGCTCCAGAGTCCCAGAGACTTCCCTTGAGGCTTGAGGTCACTGTAAAGTAACAAGTAATACTTCTAATACCAAAGGGTCCAGTGGATCAGTAGCACCTTGACCCCAGTGTATCCAGGACCTGCTACAGGGTCCTTTCCAACTCTCATACCCATTCACTGCTGACAGTCTTCCATGTAACCAGGAATGTGGGCAGGAGCAACATCCCCAACTGCAGAGAGTGTCACCTCCAGAACTCTAGGAGATCTGCCAAGAATGGGGCTTCCTTCATAGTGTAAGAATGCAAGAGGTGATGTTCTACCATGTGCCTAACCACTGGGCCCCTGAGAACTTCACTGATACAGCAAATCCCTGAGACCTATCAGCTTTACCCCTACACTTGGAGTGGTAACTCTTACTATGAAGGAATGAAGGCCTCCATAGACTCTGAACATTCAGGGGATGTCCTCAGAGCCAAAGTCCTCTGAGGACAGTCTCTCCAATTGTCTCCATCTCATGTTTCAAGATCTTCCCCACCGTGGCCCATGACAGACTTGCCTTGGCTCAACATCTAAATACCTCAGGAGCTCTGGAACTCTACTTACTGAGTCCTGAGTCTGTTTCTCAGCTGTTCACTATTCCACAGAAGACAAGGGCCTGTTTATAAACTACTAAAGAGACTTCATCTGTTCCCTTGTTCGGACTTTCATCCCACTTCAGAGTGTCAACCCAACAGTCACCATCAGCTGTCCTTCAGCTGTCCTCTGCTGTCGTGTACCCACTCCAGGCTCTTTCAAGTCAGTGACCACCACCATCCACAAATGTGTTCTCCATCAGGTGCTTCTGCATGTCACCACTGGTGACACATTCAGCCACTGGGCTGCCGCCCTGCTTCAGGGACGATCCTCCCTCTCAGAATGTGATTATCTTTGCCTGCTCCAGGCCCCATCTGAGCACCCGATTTGTCAGAACACATTTGGTATCAACTGGGGCAACTCGGGTCCACCCAGAAGCAGATGCTGAGATAGGATACCCTGATGAAGATATTTACAGGGGTGAAGATATTTACAGGGGAGATTCTACTGGAAGACATGTGAGGAGGGAGCAGGAGGAGGGGGAGCCCCTGATCACAGTGAGGCGCAGACACAGAAGGGAAAGAAGCAGAAAGTGTGAGATCCTCATTCAGACTATTGCTCTGCAAGGCTCCCATTTCCACATTGTCTCTTCATAAGTTGTTAGAAGAACCAGAAGTTGTATGTAAAAGAGCCTACCTCAGACTCTACAAAGAGTGAGTCTCTAGCAATTGGTATGTGTTTGTGGCAAAGAATAGGGAAATAATAAAGCAGAGCTCCTGAGTGCCTTTCACAGAAATGTGGAGCCCCTTATTTCCTGTGTAGACAGGTACACACAGAGGCTGCCCCGCCGCATTTACAGCAACTCCTTTTTCTCATTTAAGTCAAGGCTAACCAGGCTGTATTTTACATAGCATAAAACAGACAGCAGGATGTACTTATCTCCTGTAGACATGGCCCCAAAATGTGTTGTGCTTTATAACTGTTATTACTAAGGTGCTTGTCTCCAAATTCTTTCTTCTGAAGGAAGAAAAATAGGGCTTGTAAAAGGAGATTGGGTAAAGTCAACACACGCTGCTATGTTTTGTAGATATTTTACAAATGCTTTCTTACTTTATTCTCAAAAGTCTCAAGAGTAGGAATCCTTATCCACATTTTACAGTGGGAAAATTTGGGCTTCTAGAGGTTTAGTAACATGTCCATGATGCCAGGCGTGGTGACACATGTCTGTAATTCCAGCACTTAGGCTGAAGCAAGAGGATTGTTGTGAGTTTGAGGCCAACCTGGCCTACATAAGCAAATTCAAGGCCAGCCTGAACTGTATACTGAAATCCTGTCTCCAGAAATAATAGTGATAATAGCAATAACATGTCCTTGGTGACCCAGTTCACTATCAGAAATGATCAGTCATTGACTCCAGAATCCTGTATATTTCATTTTCAAGAACTTCATCTGTAGGCTTCAGTTCATGAATTAAAAAAAATTCTTAAGTTGGAATTTATTTACAACATAAAAATAATTTCTTTTTCTTGCTATGAATTTTCAAGTCACAATTTTGTTCCTACCTTGTTGTTACCACATTGCTCTAAATAACTGTTCAGAGATCTCTTTCCCCCCTTGCCAGTGCCTTAAGGGTGGTTATCAGGCCTAATTCATATCACCTCTCACCAACAAAAATAAGCCCTGAATGTCATGTGTACTTACAGATGCTGAACTAAATAAGAAAATACAAATAACTCAGTTAATTTTTCTGCTAATTCTCCAGTTACTCTGACATTCAAAGCAAAAGCCTAGCAGAGAAAACTAATCATTTTCTTGATTCCATGGTACCCACATTGGAGTAGAAAGGACTCTTAAAATCCTTAAAACTCTGTTGAAAACCCAAAATTGTTAAGCTTTTTCTTTCTAGCAAAAAATTAGTGTGAGTTAAAGGAATCAACAGAGAATCCTCACATTAGGATTTTCTCACTATTCAAAGAAATGACTAGTAAGAAGCATCAAGGTGGAGTGTGTATGATTTGGAAAATAGACCATGAGGGGTGACTTGGGGAAACATGACCTTGACCGTGACCTTCTATTACACAGTGGTGAGGAGGACAGGCTTCAGAGACAGATCAGACAGTCTGAAGCCTGCTGGTGAGGCTGAGATGTGTGCCCTTGGACACATCACCTCGCCCTTCTAACCATGACTTCTCCATGTGTAGGGCAGAGATAATAATAGTGTTGTTGTGAGAATTCAAAGCAAGAGTGAATGCAAAGCAGTTAGTACATGGGCAGCATATGATAAATAACTCATTAAACAAGAATTCCTCCTCATCATTATTTTTACTGTGCATGCAACTTGCCACTCCTTGTGTCTGAGCTGAATGATAACATTTAGAAACCACAACTTTAGTAGGTCTCTGCTTTCACACAGCACCTTTTGTCTCAGAAGATCAGAGCCCTGGGAAATATTAATTCTTTTCTCTTTTATTGATCCGAGTGTAGGTAAGCACACTCAGAATGGCCTAGTTATTTCAGAGAACTCCAGCGCAGAGCCCATTGCATGCACAAAGTCATAGATAACATCTGAACAATCCAGATCTCATTTTCCAGGGTTCCTAAAATTAAATGGATTCTGTTATTTGTTTGCAGTTGCTAAATATTATTTATTGGCAGTAGAAATCAATGCGGCTGATGTATTACTCTTTGAGGGAGTGTTCGTGTTTTGGAAACTGCTCTCAAATTTTCTAAATGTGAATTTAAAAATCTGTCGGTCTCTGCACCGATAACACAAAACAGATTGTAAATGTAACGGGATGCAATCAAGTCAAACAAATCCGAGGAGAGCGCCAGAAGGCTGGATATTAGGGCCGCTCCTGGATGCAGGCTCTGCTAATGACGGAACAATTGCCAGTGCTGATTTGTGGCTGGCATTGATATGCAGGCAGCAACACTTTCATCTCAAATCCAGCCCCACATTTTTTTAATCCTGTCAGTGAATTCGCTGTCTCGGCAAAGAGCAACTCCAGAGAATCTAAATAATAAGAAATGGGAATATTCAAGCACAGTCTCTACTTCCACATCCGGTGCGTCAGTTGAAAAACCCCCTGATTTTTCTTTGTCGCTGTTTTGTGTCTCCTGGGATGCCTGCCTCTCGACAACTTGTACGAATTAATAACTAAACACAGCTTTAAATATTGGAATTGGTCACTGCGGGAGGGAATGGGCACCGAGCCTCCGGAGGCTATTCCAAGATTCCAAACTTATCTAACATTTCCTTCACAAAATCAAAACATGCAAATGGGCTCCGACCGCTGCTCCCATTTACTGTGGGGACCAATTTTTTTTTTTTTTTTTTTTTTAATCAAGCAGCACCTGCCTCTCTATTCAGAGACCACTGCGTGCAAAGCTGAATGCAAACAACAAAGGCTTCCACTCTGGCGGCGGCTGCGTGATTTTCTTGGAACTTGCCATTATGTTTCAGGTCAGAGATTGAGGTTCCGCGCAGCACACGGACCTTTTAATATCAGGTGAATGGATTTTTATAAGAGGCTGGGAAGCTTTGGGTCTTAGAAAAATGGTGCTTTAAAAATAGCCACATTCCTTTTGTGCTGTAATTATCAGTGCATGACGAATCATTTTTTATCCGGTTGGTGTAGGCAAAAGGAAATATCCTCTACCCATCGCTGTGGGCTGGCTGTTTTCAGAAGTCAAAATGTTCCCATATCTCATCAGTTCCTTGAGAGTGTATGATTTACCTAGAAAATGGACCCTGAGACATCACTTATATGATTTTTTGCAAGAAGGATAAAAGAAGGATACAAATTCATTTATTTATCCAGGAACTTATTGTCACATGGTTGCTGTTTGCGCAGCTAATATTGAGTAAATTGGGGAGTTTTTCACAATTCCTTCTAGGGAAAAGGTTCACATCCTATAAGTGAGCAAGGTCAGAAATGGAAATAATCAGCCTTGTTTAAAAATAGAAAGAAAGATAAAGTCACAAAGCAGTAAACAGTAGCCTGACGGACCACGGCCAGAGCTCAGGCAGTTGGCTAATTCTCCCCAGTTCCCATTTCCTCGCTTGCAAAGGAGAAATAGTGACTTTTCCCTGGCAGGGTTGTTGTGAACAGGAAGTGGGAAAATGTTTGTTGAGTGCTTTGCAAGTAGTGAATATGGGAAGGAGATGAAGAGATGGAAGGGGAGTAAGGACGGGAAGGAAGGGGATGAGAAGAGGAGTGGCAATGTGTCCTGTCCACACACCAACTCCACACGGGGAAGGTAAACATTCAGTACTGCCCGTGTGTTCTAACATAAATAAATAACATACTACAGAAAATCTCTATTAAAAGATGTCAGAATGAGGCCAACATTCTCTCAGTTTTTTAAGGAAAGCCCAAAATCTCAAACTTCTAATACAATACTGAATGCCTCAGCTTTTGAACAGTGACAACTCATTCAGAAAACTTTAAAATATTATGTAGGCTAAATAGAATACATCTGTGCCTACCATTAGCTTGAAATCTCTGCATTGACAAATCTGACTGATGAATACAGACGCAGGACTCCAAAATAAAATATTAGCAAGTCAAGTCCAAAAAAGAGAAAGAACAAGAGGACTGATAGTGGTAGCAACAGCTGCGATGTGTAACAATTGTATTAAGTACATACCAAATAGATTAACGTACATAACAAGTATATAACAATTGTAGCAACCATGGTTATTATTACAGAAAACAGTGAACCTTGCCCAGTGGTGCTGAAGATTATAGACTACAATTCACACTGTGCTGCTGTGTTGTTCCAGACCAGATGGCCCTGTCACCCCCACACAACAGGGGGAGGCCCATTCCTGCAAAGTGCACCCCACACCACTTTAACACCTGTTCCTGAAACAAACCCTGCTGGCCTTGAACTAAAGTTCCATCTCCCGGAGAGCCTTTGTGAAAAGCACAGGGCAGCTGGTGAGGATGTCACTCATCCAAGCAGGCTTCCCAGTGACCTTGCCCACCGAGCAGGGGTCCATGTGAACTTGGTAAGGGCTCGGTCGCCTGCACAGTGGTGTAGCCTTCCACAAACTCCCTAGCCGATGGCAGGCCTCCCTTACCAGATCTCTGCCCCAAACTACATCACTTCCCTTGTTGCAGGAGGTAAGGAATTTAAACAGGACCCTGGTAAAGTTGGGGGAATTATGGATGGGAAGCTAGTGTGCATTCTTGGTTGGAAACCAGCATCCTATGACAGTTAATACATGTTCAACTTGCCCGATCTGCAGGTGCTCTGGGCAGGGAGGAGACCAGGCAGCCCCTCATGAAGAGCCCCTGAGCGTTGCAGTGCCTCTTGGCAGAGAGTGTGACAGCCACAACTGGTGTTTGCAGGTTGCCACCCTTCCCCTCCTTTGGTGGCAGTGTGTCACATCAGGACATTTCCCAGAATCTCCTTCCTTGTGGGGAGCACTGGCCACAAGGGACATTACCAGGACAAGGGAGAGGGAAGTAACGTAGCAGCCCATAGGTTTAGAAGACCATGGTTGCTATAGGCAGATAGGGACAAAGAGGCACCAGGAAGATCCAGTTTGCCCTGCTCGTCCTGATCTACCTTCCCGCCTGACAGCCAGCCCTGGGCTGTGAGTGCAAAGGTGTTAGCCACAATCCCGGCAGCCTTCACTTCTCACCCAGTCTCAGGCTGGGTGTGACTGGTTTCCCCAAGCTCTAACTCCTTCACCCGGGGCACGACCTGTTTACCTTGAGTTCACACCTCTCTTGGAGGCACTTCGTGTAAGGGAGAAGTGCAGTCCTCTAAATATGTGTACACATCCCAATTTTGTTCCCTTCCCATTTTATGGCCCTAATCTTCTTAGACCTCCATTTCTGCCTTCAAAAGAAATCCTGTCTTAGTCTTACATTTTTAAAAAAGATGTCTCCTGTGAGAATTCTTAATCATAAGTAAATCTTCATGTAGATTCGGGGCCAAAATTCACTCCACCTGGGTAAACTGTGAAAATCCCAATCAGAGAATTTAATTTAAAAAGGCCCATGGTCATTAGTACCTGCAAGATATCTGGAAAGAGCAAGTGTAGAATTGCCCCAAAGTAAAGCACCTTACACAACAGGTGGGGTACTTTCCAAGCAAAACCCCCAGAACCATGAGCTGACAGCGCGAAGGAAAAATATATCCCCAAAACCAGCAAGCCGCTCTTAGCAAGAGTCCGCAGAGTAATAAACAACAGGCTCTGACCTTCACACGCTGTAAATGTTGAATTTAAAAACAAGTATATATAGATCTCCTAGTCTGTGTCAAATGGTGTTCTGGGGGCCTGAGTTGAGACAGAGTCAGCAAAGCTGAATTTCTGCCATTTTAGTGATATTTGTTATCTATATTTAAAACTTAAAGAATGCCTGTTTATATTTTTTAAAGAAATACAGACATCATAATTCCTAGGCAAGTTTGATAAAGACACAAATAGAGCCAGGCATGGTGGCGCACCCCTATAATCCCAGCACTGAGGAGGCTGA